TTTTTTAAGTTATTCAGTAACAAATTATCTTGCCAAGATCCATTTTCAGAAAGCACTTCGTCCAACATTTAAAAGTTTGCATATATCTCATTTTGAATTCTATTTTTTTCAAAGTGGCATCTTCAATTAGAATGCTTGTAATTTCTCAGTTGCATCCATAATGGTGATATCGGGTCCTTGAATTAAAAGACTTGTATTGTTCATGTGGTTAAAATTATCTGCCAGGTAAGCCAATTTATAGGTAAAATCGTTTTTGTTTAAATATTCGAAGAATGAGTTATCTTTTTCTTCTAGAACAAGTGATAATTCGATCTTCAACATGAAAAATTGTTTCAAAACCTGCCCTCTTGACAGCCAGCGCAATTCCGTGTGGTACAGAAGTACCTCATGTTCTGCGTCCATTTCTTGACACAGCGTTTTTAAAGAGACGATGATTAAGAGCTCTACGTCTAATAAAATTTACAGTTTTAATAACTTTTGATAATGCTGCTTTTAAGATGGTTGGAAGAATTTTTGTAGCCAGCGCATTTTTATGTAAAAAACAATGAGTAACAAGAACATTAGGAGACTTTTTTTTACCAACAGGGCAAAACCAGATTTATTGCCAAGCATCACAGGTGCTCCATCCGTACAAAGTGAATGAAGTTTTTCTTTCCAGTCAAAATCGTGCTTGGTAAAGAAAACATTTAACATTGCTAAAACATCAACTGCCTTTGTAGTTTGCAAAAGAGACTCACAAAATAAAAATTCTTCTTTGATAGTATCACGAGACACGTAACGAACAAAAACAAGAAGTTGACTATAATTCGAGATATCTGTAGTTTCATCCAGTTGCTTACTAAAGGGAAATGGTGATACTTTCAATTCATCTATGATCTTTTTCAAGATATTGCAAGAAATTTCAACTATTCTTGAATGTGTCACTTCATTTGAAAACGGAATTGCCTCAATTTCTTTTTCTCTGTTCCAATCTACAAACTAATTCAACCATCTCCAGCGCACATGGCTTAATTAACGGCTCTCCAATAGAATGCTGTTTCTTGCTTTTAGCAATATGATATGCAACTTTGAGAGATGCCTCAACCAGAGGTTTTTGTGGAATACCAAATCCAAGTTTGTCTACTGTTCCAGATTTCAAAAATTGGGCTTTCTCTTAGTAAAAAATTCTAGATCTAGTAACCTGAACAAGGTGTCAAATGTACGTAGCTTGATAGGGGATAATAAAAATAGTACAGCGGACGTCATTAGGGGATTGCCCCTGATGGTACAAACTGAAAGCCGGTTAGTGGAGGATGTTAAAAATATGACAGGGATATTAGAAGGCTGTGTGCAGTCCGTACTGAATTTGGGGTATCTCGATCACCTAGTTTCAAATATGTATGTATTTTCACCTTTTAGAAAGAAAAAAAGATCAATGTTATTTAAATATTATTGATCCAAACGTTTTAAAAATTAGGAGCAGTCGGTGTACCCCCAAAATATGACCCATGGACCCCTAAGGGGTCCATGAACCGCAGGTTAAGAAACTCTGCTCTATAGGTATTTTGAATATTCGAATGTAGAAAAAGTGTGTTCGGGTAAACGTAGACCAAACCACGAAACTTTAAATGTTAAAAAAATGCTTTTAAAATATCAAAATACAAAGAATTTATGTCAGAATTACTCTCTACTGCATAATCCAAATTTATCCTACCACAATTTGATTGCATTTTGATATTTTGAAAGTACTTTTACATTATTTGAAACTTACTTTGGTTTACTGTAAGTTTAGCCGAATTTACTTTTTCTATATTTTAAATTTCAAATGACAACTGTTGGTAAAACAGAATTATTCCATGAGGCGTTTCTCTCGTTGCATTGCGTATTTTAAGTTACTTTTTTACTATTAAAGTAGGAACGTCTTAGGACAATAGAATCGACTTTTTAGGAATCTGAAAAGATTTGCTTTGAAGTTATGAAAATTATTTAGAGGCTAAAGGGTTTTGTTTCTCCCGGATCGATACCATTAGACAACCCTTTTCATTTCCGCGTGACGATAAATTTACATTTATTCAAGATATTTAAATGTTGTATTCTATTAACCGTTCTGTTAGGGTGAAATTTAAACTTAATAATTTTGCTCGATTATCATTATAACTTGATCCATAAATTGGCTTCCTTTAAGAAAAAAGTAAAAAAATGTATCTTTGGTTACTTTAAGAAGACATAAAATGTTTTTCGTCAAGGAGAGTTTTGATAATAAATAGTTATTCTTAAAAGTTGACGCACTTTTATAAAAAATATTTTTAACTCCCTCCTCCTCTAGGTCACATAAAGTCACATTTCCCCATACCCCTCCCCCTCAGTTACATATCATGCTAAGTTGCAAAAACATATACCAGCAGTTCAGAAACAAAGCACTATATTTTAAATCACTTTTCCAATTTCATGGCATAAGCATTGTATTCATTTTGATGAAAAAAATATAGAAAAAAAATTGCACATAAATATTTAATCTGCTGACTTGAAGTATTTTTATTTTAACGAAAATGCATGTTGTCATACATCTTGTTGTCACCTCTTTGCCCCTTGTCATAAACTGTATAGATATTTCACGAACCCCCTCCCTCGTTTCCAAGGATGACATCATTTACTGGTGGAAGAAAGATTAATGCCTAGTACTTCCTAGCAATTTTAAACAGTTATTTTTGATAGTTACTTTAAATACATCTGTGCCGTTAAGACACAGTTCCCAGCAGATCACCGAAGTCAAGAATCACTCGCTGCGGTCAGTGTGCGGGTGGGTGACCACTTGGATCAGTCTTCGCAGGGACCGAGGGTGTGCGGTATTGGTCCTCGTTACACTGTGCTACCGTAAAATGCTCGACTTCGCGCGCAGGTCGTCGGGCTACCGAAGCGGAAGTGCCATCTCCTCCGCAGAGGATCAAAATTGTGATGGCATGTCTTCGGATCATCCTGCTTCCCAGACCGTCGCCAATAGCCCATTGTGCAGCTCTAGTACGACGTAAATTACCAACAACAACAACAATAAATGCATCTGTTCATACTGTTACGCAAAATTTATTATAAAAACAAATTTAACTTATCAAAATCTAATTATAACTTATTTACGTTTTTAAATACTGTATCAAAGAAGTTGGGATAATAAAATATAAATTGTTTAATCGTTTTGAACTAGTTGAAGGTAACTCCAATGAATGTATATTAACTATCCCTATAATCAAAATAATAAAAATTAAAATACCGTTTAAATAGGAGGCAAATATATATTTTTCAAATAAATACTTTTATTCATTTTCCTTATTCACTTTGTCGCAGAAGAATCCTAACGAATGATTTTTCTGGCTAATAAAAATATACCGATTACAAAGAAAAACAGTTTTACAAAATTATGAAGAAGAAAAAAAAACCTTTAACGTTTTCATCGAACGCGCATTTTGAAAGGGTTATTTTAAATACTTATACACTGCAGGATATTTAACGAATATTTTTCTAATAAAATTTTTGCTATTCATTAAAAATTACTCCAAAAATTTTGTTTAATTTTAATGAATATTTTTACATATAAAATGAGAAAAAGCAAGGCAAAAAAAGTGAGTATTTTTATGAAAATGTCTATATCAACATAAATATTTCAGATAGGCTTACAAAATTTGCTCAGTTATTGCATATGATAACCAAAATAATTGATACAAGTTACAAGCTTATTGATATATATTTTTGGCACAGATAGTTCTAAAAGACTCTTTTTCGTTTGTAATTTATTGCTACAAGATCACTCTAGGAAATCAGAAAATGGCCGAAATTTCGATTAACTTTTGCTATAATAACGAGATAAATTATGCTTGTAGCTGTGAGAAAAAAATTGCTACTTGTATAATCATCCTGCACTCAACTTTACTTCAAATTTAAGTGCCGTAGCTATTTGGCAAGTGGTCTAAAATTTATTTTTAAGATTTCATCGCTATAAACAAGAAACCAAAAGTTGGTAAAAACATACTAACTAAAATATAAACTTCAAACTGACCACGCACTACAAAAAGATTTCCATGTGGCGATTTATGGTATCGGTTAATAATTTTCCATTTTGCCTACATTTTTAACTTAAGAATACACATACACTTAAGGGAAATTTTCAACTAGAAAACAAGATTTTGATTTTTCTTTTATGCCTCAGCGAAATTCAATAAATTGAGTTTGTGTTTGGTATATCGAATTTAACGTAACCAAATAATGGAATTATCTTCGATAGGGACTGCCAGTGAAAAATGATTCTATATTTAAAACAATGAGAAGAGAACGAAAGAAGGACACTTCGAAGGTTTTCATTGAACTGAATAATTTCTTGAATATAAAAGCAATTTTTTGTAACTCTTTTCCAAGAATAGTATGTTTGATTAGACACAAGTGAAGCACTTCAAGATGGTCAGTATAATACTTTTAAAATTTTGAAATAAGTACCTGTTTAAATAATGAGTTTAGAAAATAAGTATTTCATTAAGTACCTGTTTTAAAAGATTACTTTACAATAGTAAATCATTCATGAGTGCCAATGAATATAATATAGAGTGGAGGAAATAAATCTAAAAAAGCATATATTCTATAGGCTAATTTTATTTTATTTTATAACCGGCACTGAACATCCGATAAAATCTAAGTTCTACTATTCTTAGAGTATTAGTAGCTTAATAATTTTGAATCCAACCCAGAAAACAAGTGAACTCTTGTATAAAGCTATAGGGAGCCGCAATGGCTCAGGGGATAGAGCGTTCGCCTTCCAATGAGGCGAACCGGGTTCGAATCCCAGTCGATACGAAATCCGCATCCGGCTTGCATCGACCACAGTGCTGACGTGAAATTTCCTCAGTGGTAGACGGATCATGAGTTAGAGTTCCCTTGCCGTTAGGCTAGCCGTGGGAGATTCTCGTGGTCTTCTCCTCCATATAACGCAAATGCGGGTTATCTCTATCAAAAAGTTCTCCACGAAGGCAAATTTCTCCCAATACTCGATCTAGGAGTTCCCTTGTTTTCTGGATTGGGTTCAAAATGACAAGGTTACGGAGTTGAACATTAGTAGTCATAACTACTAATGACCATAACTACGTCTACCACTGAGCTCAGCTGTGCAGTACCTGTCAGCTTGTTGAGGATTGAGAACATATTTTAATCCAGTGTACAAATTTTAAGCACATTAGAGCGAAATTTTTTCATTCAAAAACCACCTATGAGCATTGGTCAAACCCTAAAATAAAAAAAGGAATTGAGGAAATAATAAGAAAATTGTTTAGTAACAAGGCACCTCCCTGAATCCTGATGGCCTTTTGCTGCCTCTTGTTAGGAAAGATACACTTTAAATCACGGCTTATTAATTTAACTGTTATGGTTTGATTTTTTCTTGAATTTTCTTTTAAAATGTTTTTTTTTCTGTGCTTTAGTTTCATGCTTTTGTCAAACTCTGCCCCTATGTGATTCCTCATTTTGAAAATTTTAATCACTTGTGTTTCTAGAGTTTTTATATATATATGTCAGTTTTGTTTTCTTTTTAAAAAAAAAAATTTCCGGGAATTTGATACCTTTAGTATTGTTGTGCCAGCCGTAGTTATATTCCGAGTTACAAACATCCTTTATTTTCTATGTGAAATTGTTTCTTTTATTAACTTTGCACCCCTACTGAAGATGCGACATCAATATCTCTTCTGATTGTTACTGTTTATTTTCTGTAATATTTGTTTGCATTTAATTTATTTATAAGTAGCACTGTTTTCTGGATTTCAAATTTAATATTCTACCTATTTGTTAAAACTCTAATTCGAAAATTTTGAATAATTTTGCTCATGTAATTGAACTGTTACGCTCACTTCGAACTTTCGGAGTGCCCCCCGGATGCCCCCTTACGGGGCCGTGACGGGCTCATGCTTGTTATTAGTAGTCATAAACCCGTAAAATTGGGTTGGCTGTTCAACGACGGTTATAAAATAAATTATAAAACAATGGGAGGCCGGGATAGCCTGGTTGGTAGGGCACTGGAGCCATGTCCAAGAGGTCAATGGTTCGATCCCCGATGGTCGAAGGTTCCCCGTGTAGTAAATGATGACTTATGCACGTTAAAGCTGTCGAGTCGCAAAGTCCTCCATGTTCTCCTAACAAATCAATACCTCTGGGGGTACTGATCCAGGAGTTTCTTTGTCTTCTGAAATGGTACAGAATTACAAGGCTACGGAGTTGAACACTAGTAGTCGTAAATCCAAAATTGGGTCGGGTATTCAATGACAGATATATATCAAGCAATAAGACAGATTAGCCTTCGGGGAAGACTTTTTTTATGGAAATATCCCACATTTGCATTACATGGAAAGGAAAACCTCTCACTGTTGGAATCCAACTAACCCATGCCCCGTGCGGATGTTTTACTACAGCTCTGTGGTCGGTGTGAGTCGGAATCAGAATTCATATCGACCAGCCATTAATAGGATTCGAACCAGAGTCACCTCATTGGGAGCTGTGGTCTAATCGAAAATCAGACTCTTTACAAAGTTTCGGGCTTCTTGCAATGCGCCAGACTCATTGAAAACGTCATCAATCTTTTCTAATTTGTCTAATAATATAATGCTTAGTACAATCAGCCTATACGCACTTAGACTCAATAGGAAATGAGCGAAAAATGACTTAGACTAAATTTTGCTTAAGGTTATATTTTAACATACCTTCCAATAAGGTTATTTACAATAGGCTTTCATTACTCTGGCCTTATTGTGAACAGTGTGAAATAATTTCTAATTAGCCTAAAAAGTTTGTGAGCTCACTATAATAAGCCTAAAAAGCCGATTAAAATAATAATGGAGGCTTTTCTCTACATCCGAGCAAAATGACGGTGATTATTTTCAAGGTTATTCAATTTGTTTTAATTGCTTAAATTAAAATGTTATCGTAATTTTTGGAAGAATGACAAAAATAAATTAATAAACAACGCTGATAATTACTCTGGCAACGCAACTGTTTGGTCAAATATCAGTTACATTCATTTTGATTTCTGCTTAAATGGGTGTGCGTTTTTTATTCTTCAGATATTCAGGTTGACTGTCTGTACTTTTCTCTGTCTTTATCAAGCAATCAATGCCCAACAACAGATTTCAGGCTTCAGCGATCAATACAGAAGTGAAAGTGTAAGTATTTATTCGAAGTTTTAGCAATTGTTTCCCTTTTACTTTATAAAAAGTGATATTCAGTTGAAGGAAATAATATAATATAATATAATATAATATAATATAATATAATATAATCATAGTTGATCAGACAGCCCAATGTGGGCCAATGACTTCCTCTGAAGATTTCACCATAAGGACTTCCGATTTATCTTTGATCTCCAATTCTTTTCATTAATTGCAAGAAAATCAGACTCCACCGCGTCAGACCATCTCAACCGCGGCCTTCCCCACTTTCTTGTTCCAGTGGGTTTAAAAAGCAGCATTTTTTTTATTGTATTGTCATCACGCATTCAAATCACGTGGGCCATCCAATTTATTCTATTTATTTTTTAAGTATTTAATAATATCGGGTTGTTTATAAATCTTGTGCGGTTCAAAGTTGAATCTCCTTCTCCTGTTATTGTTTTCATTTACACCACCAAGTATACTCCGCAAAATCTTTCTCTCAAATATTATGATACAATTTCGAATGCTCTGTCTCTCTATAGAGTCAAGGCTTTGCATTTGATGTAAGAACAGATGGAGCAATACATAGATAAAATATTAAATAATACAATAATAATATATATAAAAGACATCATTGTCACCGACGATATGAAAAATTAGTTGAAAATAAACGGTAAAAGTTAGAATGTAAAATTTGATATTCTCTTCGAGCCGGACAGGTAGCCGAGTGGTTAGCATGCTTGATTGCAAGGCCTGCGGGTTTGAATCCCGCTCAAGGCATGGAAGTTTCTCTGTGTGTTGTCCTGTTTTGTGTGAATGTGGACTACCCTGTTCAAAACGGAAGGCACGAAAGTTCAGTGCTTACAGTTATTGTAAAATAATCTTTCTTTCTCGACAAGCAACTCTGTTAACAGACATATTAAATGGATTTTAAATTAAATTTAACTTCTTATCAGCTTTCAGGAAAGCTTACCTTAAATTCACTTTCTGATGCGTCTGCAGTACAAATTAAGCGTAATCTGATTGACAACATATCCCTTTGAAACTATGCAGTTACCTCTGCAGCTTCCCCCTCGTTAACCACTGACGTAAATTGTCGCAAAGTTTCTCAAAACAACGGATTCTTTCAAAGCTAATGGATCACTTTAGTTGAGAAGCATATCGGACTGCTTCATTGCAAGTTAGTTGCTCTCCTCAACCCTTTACTGCACGCTTACCTTTATTGATGACCTGGAATGTATGGTAATCGTTTTAACATAATTGGTACTGCAATATATATGTTAGTGTGAATAATCGAAATGGGTGATTGCTGACTTTCACCGGTGAATGTTGACAATCACATAGTCGCTTTTGTAAATGTCCGAAATATATATTAGGTCTAGTTAAGTGCCACTGACCGGTATACATTTACCCGGTATGCCCTGCTTCAATGTTTCTTAAGGCTCAGTACGCTCCTCCTGACACTGATGCTTCTCCTAATCTATCCTCAGCAGATATTGAAATATGGAATAAATATAATAATAGCAACGAATAAATTAATATCGAATTGGATATAGCAAATATTTCGGACATTCACCAAAGTGACTATGTGATTGTTGACATTCACTGGTGAAAGTCGACATTCTCTTGATTTCGGTCATTCACGGTAACATCTACATACTTTGACTTTACGTTGAAATGAAATATTCAATATGTTGTTCTGAAAGTTCTAAAGCAAGAGGGGGATTTTCTGCACTTGTTTTTGTGAGATGTTTAAACATATATGTTAACATATTAGAATTCATCGGATATAGGTCAAAATCAACAACCACCACCGTCCACAGGGCGACTAAATATAAGAAACGGCGTTTAAAATTTTGTTAATTAATTTCCCTCCTATCGCCATTTTTTCGCCAAAAAGCTCAAAACACGAGCTTTTAATTTCTCATGTTATTTATTACAGAGGGAAAATGTAATCATACCTGGAACGTTCAAATTTTCTTATACTGTTCCAAAATTTCAAAGAACTGAATTTTGTTATCCAAAATTTCCTTCAAGCTAATTTCACATTACTTTTTTTTTAATTTATAGCCAATAATATTTAAAAGTAATGAAATATAATTTCGTTATTATATGATTACAATTTATTCAGATTTATTTCGTAACAACAACATTTTATATTTGTTATAAATTTTATGTTTCACTCACTTTTTTTCAATAACATGAACACTAAATTTTATTTAACGAACGTTACATTAAATAGGAAAGTTCAGGAAAATTTTTCTTCGTTTTAGAAATGAACCCTCCAGTAGTGTTTACAATACTTTGAGAAATATTTTACATTAATAATAATCGTATCAGTTAAGAAGTTTCAATTTTTGAAAGAGAAGCAAATGGCCACATGTTTTTAAAAGTGCTACTATTGGCCAACAAAAAATTGCACTATACTGCCGTAAAGTCTAGCTTAACATGTCAAGCACTAAGCAACATAAGGAGAAATGCTCAATGTCCTGAATAAAAAAGGATTTTAAGGTGTTTAATCGAAAAATAATTTTTCCTCCAATGCCTTATTATTTAATTTAAGTGTATTGGTGGGACGGGATAGCCTGGCTGGTAGGATGTTGGACTCACGTCCCTGTGAACGGAAGTTCGAATCCAGCCATCCGATGACTCCCAGAGTAGTAAATGGTGACTGGTGCATGTCTGTCGGATCACAAAGTCCTCCATGTTGCCATAACAAATCCTACCTCTGGGGTACTGGATTGTAGATTGATCGTTCTCTGGTTCAGGTCAAAATTACGATCTGTGGATGAATGAATGGACCCTTCCTATAAACGGATGCGGTAGAAGCCTAATTCTTGGCCATAGATGGCGCCACTAGAAAACAAAAACAATCGCATCCCCTATGCCTTAATGGCTTACGACAATAACAACAAGTGTATTGGTCAGTCTCAATTTTCTATATGCATTTATAAATATTTCACATTATTTGTAGCAATTGGATATTCTTTAGAATACTTTTAATAAAGTAAAATTTTGAACATTAATAAGTACAAATTTGAAAATGTCATTATAATTTTACCCATTACTTCAGAATTTTACTAACTCACATAATGACCCTGATGAAAAGGAGTCTATCACCCATGTTCTGTCTACAACTGAAGATATCTCTATGCTACCTTTTGATTGGTGTGAAAACTACTATTGACCAGATTCGGACCTGGGTTATTTCATTGAATAATGAGCACTCTATCCCATAAACCATTCCGTATTTTTTCCTTCGCAATTTGCTTTTGCTTCGTTAGGCTTTGAAATTCCGTTTAGCTTTAAACCATACTATCGGTACTTTAAACCATAACATGGTGCAAACTTAATAAAATGTCAAATTTATCCTTATTCAATTCATATTCTACCATAAACATCCTTCATATCATGCAAAAAACCAAAACCGTTATTTCTGATTCCCTGGAAAACATCAATTACTAAAAACACGATGCTTAAGATTAAGATAATTAAACTAATAAGTTTCCTCCAAAACTATGATAACCTACCGAAACCATAAAGAGGAAAAAATAAGAAAGAATAAAAGAAGAGAGAGAAAAGAAAAGGAAAAAAATGCAGCAAATACGCCCACTATTATTATTCTATCAATCTATTCTAATTCCATAGACTTAAATTATTTCTGCCTAACTTGCACTCTCTTGCACATATCTTTCTGACCACAGCTCTACATACTGATAAATGGTTTACACGTATCATAGGTGCAGTGCTGTGTGTTGGTGGTGTGTGTAACATAAGACCGGGTAACTGAGTTGTAAGAATGGGTTATATAAGATTTGTGGAGGGATGTAGTTATTGACAACCTTTATCTATGAACCATAGAATAGAGTTAACCATAGAATCGAGTTAACATGTCTTTTATACTAGTGAATTAGGAATTTTGTAGTGGTAGACACACTACAGTACTTCCTCGCCAGAATTATATCTGTTATAGAATTCAATACATGGATACTACTAGCTGTTTCAATGCTGTTTTGTGAGAAGCCGGGAGAGCTGTATTAAGGTCACCGTTCTTTCGAATGCTGATTTTGAGAGCTGTATTAAGTTCGAGGTCGCTCCTGTGTTACCTTTAGCAGTCAAGTGAATACGTTGCTTGTGATCGAGACTGAGTAGCAACAACGCGAGGAGGTGGATAATGACGCAGTCACGTGTACCAAGTCAACTGTTCAATATGGACCATCCATCGAAGTAGGCGTGTACAGATAGAGGTGGCACTTTCTGCCAAGGTAGACGTCCGAAGGTCACCAATGTGGGGCGAAGAGTAATCAACAACGTCAACCTTCATCTATGAAAAGGTACCCCACCATGGAATCGAGCTTACATGCCTTATACTAGTGAATTGGAATTTTGTAGTGGTAGACACGCTACAATATTGCAAAAAACTTGAAGGATATTATTATTATGCGCTCGTTTTTATCAACAAAAAAAATATCTGGGGGGAGAAGTTTTCACCGCACAGCTTTATGTGTTGAAATTCTACCTTATTTTAACAGTTTTGCATTGTTTTCTCTACTTCGGAAATCCTTTTCCTTTTATTTAGAAATGACACTAATTGCTCTATTTTAAAATTTTTATTTCCCAAAGAATTTAGGAGATTATGCCTTTGGTTACAACGAAGACCACTCATCTGGCGGATCTTTTAGAAGAGAAACTGGAGACAGGCATGGGAATAAAGTTGGATCCTATGGTCTTCGCATAGGCGATGGCCGAATGAGGGTGGTCAACTACATTGCCGACAGCGACGGCTACCGAGTCAATGTCATCAGCAACGAACCCGGTCTTTCTCAGCAAGAACCCAACAGATTTATGGAAATTGCCAAAAAAAATTTCCACAGTATTTTCGTCCCGGGATTCATGTACTCGGCTCAAGCTCCTCACGTCACTTTCGTTCCGGAGAGTAACCATTTTAATGAAAATGTTCTAAGCAAAGATGGATTTGAACGTGAAAGTGAAGCTTTCATGAACCAAAACTCAGTAGATGGTAGCGAACAGTTGGAAAATCAACATTTGGATGATGGTAGAAATTTTGAACAGCATGAAAATTTTGTAAGTGATGTTACTGATAAAACTTTGCAAGTCGAGCCTCCATTTCTGCCACTTGATGACCACACAGTCATGGAAGCAGGAAAAGAGTCAGTTAACTCAAGAAAATAACTCACTCATGCACATAATCTGCATTACCTGTCTCGAAATTGAAAATAAATTTTAATAAATTATTTATCTAACTTGACTTATTATTTGTTTGAAAATTGATTTTAAAAAAATTGGGCCATTGTAATTTTATATTATTTGTTTTCCCAATTAAACTTGTTACTGAATTAATAAATGATATGATTATATTTCTGTAATAAATGAAAAATACACTAATAATATATATGTAACATAAAAAGCTTCTATTCATCTTTTTATGTTATTCCTATTCTGTAAATCCCTTTCTTAATTTATTATTCGAAACAAAACGCCTTCTCACACTTTGAAATTCACATCATGTTTTCTAATCTATTTTTGGTTCAAGTATGCAATAATTAGCAGCTTGACTTTTTTCCCTTTAACTAATTCGTGGGAAAGACTATTTCCCTAGCCCCTATTTATTAGATCAATTACTATTACTAAGATTTCCATTATTCCCTAAGATGAAGCATATACTGATTTACTTTTGCACGATTTTCCCTAACTTTTATTGAGGAGCACAACGATTTTGTGTCACTCAAGTGTTAGCTCTTTTAAAAAATGTTTCAATAAATACGTAAAACCTGCTTATTTCTACTACTCATATATATATATATATATANGGTTTTTATTCCGGAGATTGTTTTTATATACTTCTTATTTGTATTTCTTATTTAACGTATTGCATGACAATGTAAACCCATTGATAGAGGAACGTAAACAATTGCAAACCGGTTTCATCCGAGTAAAAGCTGTTATAGAGTATCACCTGATAACTAATAATATGGCCAGGGACTGTATATATATATATATATATATTAGAAAAATAATCAAAACAGTTGATGGAAAAACGTAAAGATTCTTATCGGGACTCACTCAAATACGACAGGGAAGGACACAATCCAAAATGAACAATAATTATTCGAAGAAAAAAATTATAAAAACGCTCTTTATAATGCTTCTGTGCCTCTAAAAAAAAGGAAAGGAATTTTAATTGAGTTTAACACGTAAGAAGAAAAGCAGAAAACAAACTTACAGATATGAAATAAATTAAAATAAACATGTGTTAAAATTAAATATACCAATCTAACAATTAACAAAAATTGTTGAGAAGAGAAAATAAACATTTGCTATAATTAAATGTACTATTAACAGTTAACAAAAACTGTCGAAATTTCTATTACTTTCCGGAAAACAATTAAACAGACATATAATTGGAGGGGGGGAGAATATGCTGCATTTTTAAAAATTCTTTTTAATATGTACTGCTGAAATATCATGTTTTGGTAAAAAAAATAAAGTCTGATTTGAAGACGTTCCTTGGTTACTTTTCGAAAAATGTGGGCATTTTCTGAAAATTTGACGCCCATGTTTTAACATGAAACCAGTTTTAAGAGATTCGCTCTTTTCAAAAAATATAGAAAAAATTCTCAAAGTGTCCGCTCTATTGCATCTTTAATATGGATTGTGAAAATATCATGTTTTGGTTTTTAAAAAAAATCTAATTTAAGGAAATTCTTTGAGCACATTTGACAAATATGGGCATTTTCAGAAAATTTGACGCACATATTTTAACATGAAATCAATTTTAATAGATTCGCTCTTTTCAAAAAATTTAAAAAAATTCACAAAGTGTCCGCTCTACTTCCTCTTTAATATGGACTGTGGAAATATGTTGTTTTGAAAAATTAAATCTCATTTAAAAACAATCTTTGATTACTTTTCACCTAATATGGTCATTTTCTAAAAATTTAGCACACATATTTCAGCATGAAACCAGTTTTAACAGATTCGCTCTTTTCAAAAAATTAAAAAAAATTACAAAGTGTCTGCTCTATTGCTTTTTTTATATGTACTGCTGAAGTATCATGTTTTGGTAAAAACAAAATGTCATTCAAAGACATTCTTCGAGCACTTTTGGGTTAATATGGGCATTTTCAGAAAATTTGTCGCACATATTTTAACATGAAACCAGTTTTAAGAGATTCGCTCATTTCAAAAAATTTCAAAAAATTCACAAAGTGTCCGCTCTATTGCTTCTTTAACATGGACTGTGGAAATATCATGTTGTTTTGAAGGAAAAATCTCATTTAAAAACATTCTTTCAGCATATTTGGACAAATGTGGGCATTTTCAGAAAATTTGGCGCACATATTTTAACATGAAGCCAGATTTAAGAGAATCGCTCTTTTCAAAAAATTTCAAAAAAATCACAAAGTGTCCGCTCTATTGCTTCTTTTACTTGGACTGTGGAAATATCATGTTGTTTTGAAGGAAAAATCTCATTTAAAGACATTCTTTGAGCATATTTGGACAAATGTAGGCATTTTCAGAAAATTTGACGTGCATATTTCAACATGAAACCAGTTTTAAGAGAATCGCTCTTTTCAAAAAATTTCAAAAAATTCACAAAGTGTCCGCTCTATTGCTTCCTTAACTTGTACTGTGGAAATATCATGTTGTTTTGAAGGAAAAATTCCATTTAAAGACATTCTTTGAGCATATTTGAACAAATGTGGGCATTTTCAGAAAATTTGGCGCACATATTTTAACATAAATCCAGTTTTAAGAGATTCGCTCTTTTCAAAAAATTTAAAAAAATTCTCAAAGTGTCCGCTCTATTTCTTCTTTAAAAAATAATTTTTAAAAATGCAACATATTCATTCCGTGAAATATCTGATTTAAAAACATTTTATTAAGTTTTTGTATGCTATGGAAAGTAATCGAAGTCAGAAATTAAGTAGACGTTTAAAGTCTGCATTTCACATATCATCAGAAACTCATTAGTTCACATGTCATCAGTGATATTTTAAAAATCTTCTCAGAACTTTAAAAACATATAATATACCTTTATTAGTATGTTAGGTATTTGCTACTACAATACTAATACTTTTTACCCAGTAAAAAAAAAGAGCTGATCAAAATTTAGTCAAAATAGCCCCGAAGCAAATAATTAAATTCGAAAAGATGTTCGTTGGCTGCCGGCAATATTAGAACCAAAAACTTCCGAATTCGTGGTAGGTTGTTCTAACCATATTTGCTCGCCCAAGTCCAGGAAAAGTTAGGAAGCTTTTGAAGTTATGTAAGCAAGTCACAAAAGCGAAGACGGGTCTTTCTATTGTTCTATTTTAGTTAAATTGTTCTATTCTTAAATGTTTCGTTAAATTGTTCTATTTTAGTTAAATGTTTGCTGAAAAATAAATATTTATTTAAAACTCGTTTTCTTCTTTAATTCATCTATATTGAAAAACATTATTTTTAAGTATTTTTAAATTGAAAAATCTATATTATTAAACTTTCTTTCGAAATGCATAGATTTATTCTTTTATATATTTATTCATTCATTTTTCGTTTTAAAATTTTACGTTGCGCATTAAAAACAACTCTGAAACTGTTGCATACTATTTCTTCTTTATTTTTAAATCAGTTTTTATAAATTATGAACTTTAAAGAGATAACATTTTTGAAGATTTTATGAACTTTAAAATGATGATTTTTTTATTGTATTATTTAGCTATTTTGACACATTTTGTAAAAACTTTTTTATCAGTGTATTACAGTATTTGATTAACCATCACTCGCCTCCTGAAACGAAGTAATACTTACATTTATTTTGTAAAACTGTATTAGATCCGGATAATAGGGTAAAGAAATGAAGAAACAAAAATATTAAGTCAAAAATGTTGATTTAATATTGATTAAGCAACGTGACTCAGTATAATTGAATACTTTCAAGCAATGTCGTGCGTGCGTCAGCCAATCAGGTTAGCCACAAACGCGTAATTCTGAGCGTCCCTTGCAGACATGCAATTAAAAGTAATCCGAAAATTTATTTAGCATGATTACAAATCCAAGTCTTAAGCAGTAGTTTAAATATACCATGCACAACCAGGTAGGGTCGGATTAAGCATACTCGGGGCCCTAGGCCATTCAAATTTTTGGGGCCCTTAGATTAAATTTTTTTCTCGTATATTTTTTATTTATTCAAATATAAAAGTGTTTATCTATCTTTTCTTTTAAGAAAGCATATTTAAACTTAAAATAAATAATAATAAATTAAATTTTACTTTATTTTGTTAAATTAGAACTAAAAATTGATATTTTTTCATTGTTTTTCATATATATCATTGTTTTTCTTAATTTTTTTTAATTTATTTTCAAAAAAAAAAATTTAAGGGGACCCCTAATCATTGGGAGCCCTAGGCTATGGCCTAGTCTAGCCTAATGGGTAATCCAGCCCTGCAACCAGGTGATTCGACACAACCATGTGATTATTAGTTACAAGTACCCAATTAACATAAAACTGACTTACTATGGAAATTTACATACAAAATTGTAAGTTTATGAATTTGAAAATATAACAGGAATTAAACTAAATTAAATAGAAATTAAAGGATGTTGCCCTATAAAGACATGCTTAAAGCCTCATTTATTGTTTCTGAAAAGGCATTTATTTAAATTTAAAAAAATTGACGCGTAAATTAGTTTTTGATTTTTTTTTTTTAGTAATGATTATTTTGTTATTGCCTTTTTTTAGACTTTGTTTCAACTTTTATGATTATGATTGTTCACTTACTTGATATTCCTATATTCAGTGCTTAGTCACCAGCTCAAAAATAAAAATTCATCAGTTTTTTTTAACAATATATATACAATACGTGTTTGTATTTCATATAACAAGACAAGACAAGATTTTTTGACAAGATAGATAATTAATGTATAATAGATTTATTAATTTATAATGCATATTACTAATGTATAATTTTTTTTAAAGTTATAATGATTTCTATTCATGTTTTTAAAAGTATCCTCTTTANATTTTAAAAAATTTTTTTTTAAGGGGACCCCTAATCGTTGGGGGCTCTAGGCTATGGCCTAGTCTGGCCTAATCGGTAATCCAGCCCTGCAACCAGGTGATTCGACACAACCATGTGATTATTAGTTACAAGTACCCAATTAACATAAAACTGACTTACTATGGAAATTTACATACAAAATTGTAAGTTTATGAATTTGAAAATACAACAGGAATTAAACTAAATTAAATAGAAATTAAAGGAT